GGGTGTCGGGATAATGAGTGGTGGAAATGGATGTTCTGGGGAAGAAAGAGAGGAGGAGAGATAACCCGATTACCGAGTAAAATGAAGAAAAGCGAAAACCAACCGAGTGACAATTTGAGACGTTGTTATTCCAATAATGATATTTAAGTCTCGTAAATAGTTTTGAGCTTTTAACCATGAAAGATCTAGTTTTTTTATCATCGACGATATCGGCACAAAAGTAGTGGTCCAATCGCATTTCGTTGTGTGCCTCCTGAACGCACGGTCTAGTGAACCGTTCAAAGCCAATTAATGGCTACTGAAGCAAGGTGTTTAAGAAATAAAAAACGCGACTTACTCCTCGATGCGAATAATCTAGAGCAATATTTTGATGAGACGTACTGGTGAGGAAAAAATGTCATTCAAAGTGGAAGTAGAGGATAGAAGTGAATACATGCCCTACAATGTTGGAATTAAAAAGGCTACTGAAATCGGTACTGCATAGGCGAAGTCAGCCCTTCCCATTAACAGAGTACAGGGCCACGAAAATCCTGACAATGAAGTACCTCCATAAGCCTGTCAAAATATCCTATGCAAGTATGGGGTGCCGTATTCGCCCTCCTAACACAGTCATAAAAGTTTGTTACAGGAAAAATGCCCTTTTTAAAAACCACTGATTCTTTGCACCGATGAGTGGACACAAGTAAGTCAGCGCTAAAACGATTTCAGATCAGTAAAGTAAGTAAAAATTCATCAATATCAAATTAAAATTCTCACCTTGAGAAGGTTGTGAGCAGTTGCCCTTTTCTCAACGTCCACTTCGAGACAGCAGTCGAGGAAGTCACGAAACTCGGAGCTCAGCTTCTCCGCGTCCTTTATCTCCGGTTTACCGTTTGTCGCAATTAAGTAGAGCGCCTGAAAGCAGAGGACACAAACAGGTTCACAGACACGCAGAACTGAGCTAAGCCTCGAGTAATTCATCCCTCCACGAAAGAAGAAGCAGCCTTTACTGGTGAAAAGTCTGGACTACTATAATGGCCCATAAAATAGCTACATTACTAATGGACAGACGGTGAACACAGTAAAGAATGGCCGTGCTTTTGTGTGCGATGAGAAAGTGAAGTAGAACGCCAAAATATCAAAATTTGTTCTGGCTGCGAAGAAACAAGCCGAATCACCAAAATAATTGTTTGAAAGTAGAAATAAAAAAATTGTCAATTATCAAAGAGTGCCCAGTTCTTGAAGATGTAGAAAAAAATTGGGAAAGCAACTTAACCGGATAAAAAAGACGATATTTGTGGATCTTATCAGACGATCATTTGACAAGGAGGAAGGAATGAAAAAAGAAACTCGTAATCTGCTGAATTTAAGCAATGGTACAACGCGAATCCA